AAGTTCTGAATATAAACCTCTGTAGAATTGTATGCTGTTGTGCTCACAGCGTCATGAAATACGTCAGTCCTCTGCTTTGGCCTCCTGTCTGTTAAGAGGCTACTGTAGGAGTCATGGAGGTGAGAGTTGGATAACTATAGTAAAACAAACCATTAAAGCAAGTGAAAGATTTAACCCCTGACAGCTCAGAAGGTACAACAGTTTTTTCCCTCCTTCTGTCCAGACATACTCTGTAAGTTAGTAACACTGCAGTGACAAAATGGTTTTAACACTAAGCCTGGGAAGTAGTCCCAACTTATACATCGAGGGTGGCAAACCCAAAGAGTCATCAAGTGGGCACTGAGCCTGCTGTCCCCGAGCACGCAGAGCCAGGTCACTGAGCAAGCGCTTGTCTAACCTGTTTCAAATCTCCCCACGCTGCAGTTGCTGCAGTTCATCCGTGTGGGTGCCTTAACCGAGAGGCCAGTCTCATGGTGAGAAAAGTCTTTGTGATGTGCCTTCCAATATTCCTTGCTATGGAAAAAGCCTCTCTTGTTTTGTCTCCCCCTTTCCTTGGCTCCCTGACCAGGGAGGACAGGATGCCATCAGATGGCATCCTCCTCATCCTGTTTCCTTTTCCTCTTCAGCCTAAGTAGTTGTACTTTGCCTCCCAGTTTATTATTTTCATGTTGAGTCCTTTTCTCCAAAACACTAGTAACATTTCTTAAAATAGTACTTGCTGCTTGCTATTCTGTCCTGAAGCACGTTGGTGGAAGCATCAAATGTAGCCCAGCCTTTAAGAAATCCCTTCAGCAGCTCCTTTAAAATGTTCTCCAATTGGAAAGCAGGCTGAATGCAGTTTGTAATCTAATGTCACTTAGACCTTATTTCTCTGGTTTATTTATAAAAAGTGTTACCTAATGTACTATAAAAAATATTGTAGTAACAATGTCTCTCAAGACATTTTCTTATCCAATAGGCTTGTTACCATGCATAGAAAATATTCAGTGCTTTATTCTTGACAAATCTGCTTGTGCTCATTCTCTCATTGTCATGTTAAGTGTTTATATTATTGGTTGCTTGTTAAATATTTTCAATATCTCTTCAGTTTTTGAAGCTGACTGACTGGTAGATTGTTACCTACCTACTGGGTAGGTAGCAGCCTGGTAGCTGCTGCTTTCTACAGATGACAGCGACCTTTTGCAGTGCGGTGAATTGTCTCCTGCCCAGGTTTCTGAAAATCACCCTGGTGGCTGATGCTGTGAGGGTGTCTTGCTGTGCTACGTGTGGCACAGCCACAGGGAGTTTCCAGCTTCCCATAACCCAGAGCTCTCCCGGCCTCCTTCACCCACTGCTTTGTTCCAAAGGCCCTGCCTTCCTGTTTCCTGAATGCTTCAAGTTATCTTATTTTAAGGTTCACTTTCAGGTGGCTTTCTGTTTTCATCCTCTGTGATGCTTTCTCTATTACTTCCCCATCTCTCAAGCACAAACGGATTAAATGGCCACTTTTTGTTTTGTTTTACTAGCCCAAGTCTTGCCTTTTGTCACCTTTCCCTTTCAACAGCAGCGTGAAGGCTCTCAATCTGACACGTGAGTTTCTAAGGGTGTTGCTTCTCTTTTGCTCAAGCTAGATGCCTTGTTTTTTTCAGGGAACCTTCCTGCACCGTCACCCTCTCACCCGGGGCCAGCAGCGTGCTGAAGTCCCTCGGTATTTGTGCAGCGGTGCCTGGGCCCGTAGCATCTGCTTGGCAGCCTCGGCACCGCCCGTGACTTGGCCGCTTTATTAGCAGCGCAGGGAGAGGGCCAGGGAGCTGGAAGAGCCTCCAGCATCCGGCAGGCCTCGTGCGCCCCGGGGTGTGCCAGCAGGCCCTTCCTCTCTTCCTGAGGGCCAGCCCGCGCTCGGGTGCCTGTTCTGGGCAGGTTCTGTGTTTGCAGCGGCACTGACAGCCTCGTGGAGCTGCTTCCAAGCAGTGGGAGCTGCTGGCCATGCCCGGAGCCGCTTGCAGGCATAGCTGAGGGCTGGGAACAACCCGCCTCCATGTGCGTCACATTCACTTTTCCGTCCATCGCAGGTTCTGCCCTCTGGAGGGCTGCAGCAGCACCAGAAAACTCCGTCTGTTTCTACTAGAGCACTGAGGTGATTTTCCTCTCCACCCCACAGTCCTGAGGGCAGCTGAACTCCTGTCGTTCCTGCTTTGGATTCGGGAATTTAACCTTTTCCCGGCAGGGCCTGTTTGGCCCAGGTGGCGGCAGGGCGTGAGGCGCGCCGGGAGCAGGGAGTGCCTCCCTCTCCGTGGGTCCCTCGTGGAGCCCCGCGTCAGGCGGCAGCTATGCTGGTTACCAGGCAACACCTCAATATTTGCCTCCCAGCCGAGGGAAAGGGACCACATCCAGAAACGGCCTTGCAGGAAAGCGGGGTTGGCTTTACAGGCTGCATGGTAGTTGGCAAACAAATAGTTAGAGGCTTGCAGCCTGTGTGACCGCCCCGGGAGGAGGAGGAGGAGGAGGAACCTCCTTGCAGGGCTCTTCCGTGGGGCAGGCTGGACAGTGCTGGGGAAATCACCAGGCAAGAAGTGCCCCATAGTGGAAGGAAGACAAGCTCCGCCTGTGAGGAGCCAAAGCAAGAAGCTGCACGCAGTGTTGTGCCACCTTCTTTATAGATGAGGCCAGCTGCAGCAGGAAGTGCCCTGCACCCTCCCTGTCCCTCCCTCCTTTCCCTGCCTGCGTCCACAGCAAAAGAGATATATGATATATCCTCTCTGACAGCCTGAAGTATTTACAGGCGAGGACAGCTTGATCTTTCTTCTTAGCAGTTGATCTGCAGCTATTTACTAGACTGTTGCTATCAAGCTTTTCTTACTCCATGAGCATTTAAACCTGAGCTCCTCCCCGTGCTCTAAGTATTTTGGCTGGATAGCACAGGAAGAGGTAGAAGCTGGTGTTTTGTTTTGGGTGGTTTTTTTTTTTTTTTTTTTTTTGAGAAAGATCTTAAACTAAGATAGAGAGCTGTAAAGCTTCCTCTGAGACAGACCTCCTTAAATGAGGTTGCCTGATGAGCAGTGATGTTGCAGCAACCAGGATGGTAAGTAGCACTGTGTCGATCAGGTAGCGCTGTGCTGGACTGTCTCCAGACGCTGGCATGGGGCTCTTGTAGCAATGCTTTACACAGAATATTTCAGCCAGTTGTAAGAAAAAAGCTTTGTGGGAGGTTTCCAAGGGAAGGAAAGGAGAGGGGCTCAGGTAAATTCTAAATAATTCATGCCATGCGAGTTATGGGGATATATTTTTATTAAGTGAATAGTGATTAGGATGACTAATATGAAGAGGTGTAGAACAGATACTTGTTAGTCATCTAGAAGGAATTCAAATTAATTAAATAGGAAGTGATGAAAAGGGAAGTCTGTTACTGGGCAGAGTAAGAAAAGTATGACTTTTCTGCCTACAGATTACCTCGTATATAAAAAAGTGGTTCTTAATATTTGTTCCCTGTCCCCATGTTGATTTTTTTTATCTCTCCACTCCTCCAGAAATTCCCGTGTATTATAATCAGTCTCTCTGTGTGTATATATAGAAGCAGAAATTATTTGCTTTTAAAAGTATGATGATTGTAGATTCTCTCAGGTATATATGTAGTCATTAAACCTCTTGCAGAGACATGCAAAAAATCGGAAAAGGCTTTGGGTGCCACTCCTGCATGTGATAATTAACCACTCAGCGTAGTTCCTGTATTACTATTAGTTGCGTTAACGAAAGGACCGGTGTTTGCAGCTTGGCTGGATGTCCATTTAACTTTCTTCCACACGTGCACCCGGTACACATACACACAGGTCTGTGAAACTGAGTAAGAGCGTAGAGAAACTGTAAGTATCAAGCCATGAGAAACTGGCTCGAGACCTTAGGACAGCTGTGCTAACTAAAACTGCTGGTATTTCTGTCTTTGGGGTGGGTCAGAAGCTGCCATCATCATAGTGTACCTTTTAAATTCCTTCTAAGTCTTGTCTTATTGTTGAGGAATGTTTATACTATGAAAAGGTTTGAAGAGGCTGGGTGGATCTATTTAAATTTATTTAAATTTAAAAGCCAGGTATCTTAAAAGTTTTAATTGGTGTTTAAAATGAGAAAATTTTCCTTATGGAAGAAAGAGGGGCCCCTGGTATGGAATAATAATATTGCTTCTGAGTTCATTCAGACAGTATGTATTTAAATAGAGAAGTGACATGAGTAAACCTCTGGGGAAAAAAGTCTAGAAAGAATCTGTGTTATTTCTTTGAGCATAAACTGTGAGCACGTTGTTGGCAACGTGATGGCAAACACGGCTGCTGGGATGCCTGGGCAGGAAAACATCAAGTGGGGAGTGAGAGAGGTGATGTTGTATCTGTATAACGTATTGATGGGACAATTGGAACTTTCTTTTCTGGGCTAAGAAAGATATTCTACTTTAAGAACAGAAGTAAAACATCTTCTTTTCTCTGACAATAACATCACTAAAGATAGGAAAAGAAGCTGGCATTTGCTGTTTCTGTGCGGGAGTTGCATAATATGCTGAAACACTTTATGACTTGTGTTACACAGTAATCAATTATTCCTTCCTATCTCTGCACGACTGAGTCTGTAAATTTAGTCTTAAATATTTTGTATGACACGCTAGTAAATCCAAGAATCCAGTTTCCTTAAGAAAGAAGCTGCGATGTGCAAAGATCCTGCTCCGAAAGTGTAGTGCTTCAGCGGAAGAGCAGATTTGCAAATGTTTCAGTACTTGATGTGGCATTTGCTTCCAGGTCATGTCAGAGAAGAGAATGCTATAATGAGATACGTGGGGATTATGCTGTAGAAAGCCTGCATAAATGTATTGTAGAAACACAGGCAATACAGAAGATCTAAAATGGTAACTCATTTTTTTTCAGTAATAAATCATTTTTTATTTTTAGTTGGATGGCTAACGAATTCAAGTTGCTTTATGTTTGCTTAATATAAATTATACTTAACAAAGGTGAAATGTAACTCAACTTTTTCTTCCTCAGAAACAATCTCCCTCTGCTGATGCAACAAAATCACATATTATGGAGCCATCTGAAACAAAGGTATGATTTCCTAAGAAACTCATTTTTCAATTAAGCATAAACACATAATGCAAGAGAATGTAATATTTTTTTAAAAACACTGAATCACTTGGTTATTTTGCATATTTATTGTCAGCAGCTTAATTTCTACTTGGCAAAATATCTGAAAAGAAAAATGTTACCAAGAACACTTGGAGGATTTTGTGAAAGCAATACTGATTGTAATTTGAGTTCAGTCGCATTTTGTGACATGCATATAGCTCCCCTCACAGCATAATTACAGGGTTATTTACATATTGATATTTTCATATATTTGAAGGATTCAGGGCAAGTTTTAGTTTTTAGTGGGTATTCAGTCTCATCTTCTTAGTCATACATCTGTGTCTGCCTGTCAGCTTACTTCCTTCATCCTTTACACTTGTTTTGTCTTGTTTAATGACTAGAACTTCTTCAGTGTAGAAGCTGTATCACCAATGCCTATACTTTGAGAAAAGGTTTGTAACCTCACTTAGGCCCCTGTTGCTTAACACTGTTATCTGAAGTAACGAGCAATGATTCAGTCTCTCCCTTGTTTCTTTTTCTATAACCATAATAGTAAAACCAACAAAAAAAAATACTGAATATCAGACTAGACCAGCAAGGACTTGCGCCGTGGTAAAGCTTAGGACTTGTTTGCACCTTGTGTAAATGAAGGCAAGTGCCAAGCAGTGGGATTGGGAAAGGCCTCTGAGGGTGACTTGGTTCAGCACCCAGGCTATGCAGGAGCAGCTCTGAAGTTGTATCAGACTGCGGAGAGCCCTGTCAGGCAAGCCTGAGTACCTGCTTGTGTGCAGGTTGCACAGCCCATCTCGGCTCTGGTGTTTGAGCTCCTTCATTTCTTTATTGTTGAGTTGGGGAGCTCAGAGCTGTTTGTAATGCTCCAGGTAGGGTCTCAGAAGTGAGGGGAATACAGGGAATGGTCACTTCTCTCAGCAGTGTCTCACACTGCTTTTAATAATGAAGCAGCCCAAAATGTAACTGCTAAGTGGGCCACTGGCTCATGTTCCACCAACTGTCTGTGAAGACCTCCAGGTTGTCATCTGTGTTGGCTCACAGCCTGCAATGCTCTTCAATGCCAAGTGCAGGCTCCTTTTTGTCTCTGTTGAACTTCATCGCTCCAGCTTGTTGACATGTCTCAGAGCAGCAGCCCACCCTCTGGTTTACCAGCTGCTTCCCCTTATTCTGGTATTATCCACAGACTTGATGAGGTAGCACACCTTCATTCTGCCAGGTCGTTAATTGAGATAAGTGCCAATAGGCCTGTTACTGACTGATGGGCTAGGCCACTTTTGTGTGTTTTTAATATTGCTGAAACAGAGACCAGCTATAGAAATTACTGCTTGCTTGTAGACTTTGAGCAAGGACAGTATTTTGAACTTTTCTGAACAAAGAAGTCGTAAGAAGTATCTATTTTCTGTTTTTCAGCTCTTACTCCTCTAAATACCCCCATATTCTTGTTTATGTCTGCGAATATCGTCTTTCAGAACTAATAGGTACAGAAACCTAATGTTTGTGATTTCTTTTAATAACCCTTTCCCTACACACACACACAAACACACACACACTGTGTTACACTTGTAGCAGTGAGATATACCACAGTTAAACCTTTCCTTTTGATGATGATTACTCATAAATGGAGGTGCTTGTTAGTGTCCAGTTTCAAATTCTTTTTATGTTTGTGAGCAAACTCGTTTGTGTCACGTTCATTTCTCATGCTTTTTCTCTATTACTGAATCCAACCAAATATCTAAAAGTAGATATTGTCTTTTTCTTACTTATGATCTGAAACAATCCTCAGAAGAATGCGGTAACTTTATAATGAAATCATTAAAGCTGATACTTGCCGGATGAAACAGAGCTACAGCAATACAAGCGTAAACCTCAGTGCTGTGAGCCCAGTTAATACCAATCCCTCTGAAACAGTTCTGCATTTGCAATTTTCTTTTAAATGTGCTATGTTATTAATGGCTTCCTTCTTGGTTAAGCAGGTCATTTGCATTTTGAAGTATTTTTTTTTTTTTGAAAAAACACTGGACCACTGAAGCTTTAGTTTCTGATCTCAAGTTTCTTGCAAGTGAACCACTCTGACTACAGCTTCCTGCAAGTGTCCTTTCTCTATCCAAGAGTCTGTGCTGTACCACTTTACTTAAAGATCCTCCAGACCCTTCTAAGCTCTCAGAACTACACCTACCTCCTTTGTTTCTTGTGGGTTTTGCCACTTTGAAGAACCTGCAAGTTAGTGCAGCTGAGAGCGGAATGTGGAATTTCTTGTTTTGTGGCAATATCCAAAGGGTTAAGCGAGGTGGTCAGAGGTTTGGAGGCGAGGTGCCACCAAGGAAAATATTTCCTGTTCAGCCTTCTTCCTTTTACTGGTGTTGTCGTGTGTGTCATTGCATTGTTAAACAAATAAGAAAACTGATCTAACTGAGAAAGAGTTTCTTTCCCTTTCTTTTTCTCTTTTTCCCAGGCTCTTTTCATTTTCTTGGGCCAGATTAACACGTTGTCCCTCAGATACGGGCACAGTGCAGGTGGGACAAGGTGGTAGAAGGGAATGTGGGATGTCTCTGCTCTGTAGGAGCTCAGCATAGGTTTTAGTGATGCTGTGGCTTCATGCTAAGACTGCTCACAATTTTTTGTACTTAAAGGATGACTAAGTGTTGCCTTGCACAACCTCCTGCTGAAAATGTGAGAGCTGTGCTTTGATTTGTCCAGGAATAAAACTATAGTGCTAGATTTTAACTTTTTTATTGCTAGAAGTCTATCCAGATGGAGGGATCTGTGCCTATGTGCATGCACAAGCATGTGGTCAGGATCCTCGCTTTAATGCGGCCTTAACATCTTCAGATACAATTAAGTAAGTCTTGAATCAAAATATTGCACATAAGAGTCCATATGTTCTGTGGTATTGTCATAAACTAATAGTATGAGCAATTCTGTAGATTTTTAAAAGCCGTATAAGAGTAACAGATAACATAACCTACTTGATAATATACTTTAAGCAGTCTAAGTAGGAGGTTACACCATTAAAATGTTAACCCCCTTATCCATTAGTCATGAGCTAAGAGACTTCGATTGCAATCTTCTGTCATGCTTCTTCACATTGCCACCCGCCCTTTAAAACTACCACAGTTAAGATATAAATTATTGGAACCATATGTTTTTGGAGCCACATTCTCTCACTTTTATGGCATTCTTTGTGTCCTTGCTACCAACATGAATGAATGACTTTTTGCTTTTGTTAGTATATAAATATATCCAACCTTCTCAAGCTACAAACTGAAAACTGAGATTACCCTTTTAGATATAGGATTGAGTACTCTACAGGTACACACACAGATGTGTGTGTCTTTGAATTAACCATATGGTAAGCATATATGTGTAGGAGTCATACATTAAGTAGGAGTGCACCTGAGAAGTACCAAGAACCATGCAGTACCAAAACTGCAGTCAACAAATCCCATTTTTAAATTAGGAATAAGTTAGATTTTTGTTGTTTCACTTTGAATAGGTGGTTAAAAAAGTATTTATTATTTGTCTCTCGGCAACTTTAAATGTGTTCAGTGTATTAGACAGACAGGGAGGCTTTGTCTGTGTTCCGTGAGCAGCTTCTGAAACTCTCTTGCTGCGTGCGAGTGCCATGCAGCTGCCTGTGCTGCTGGTACCCGTGGTCGGCACGAGCGGAAGCACAGGGAGGGTGCTGGCTCGGGAATGCTCTGGTGTGTGGCAGTACATGGATGTCCATCTGTCTCTGTCAACTCGAGAGTGTTTCCACCTGCTGCTGTTCCTAGCGGCAGTTAATCAGATTGCGCTGAGTTCATGTTTTCTGCCAGGGACTCTGCAGCTAGGACTTGTGAGGCTCATGCATTAGTCAGCATCCCTCCTTACGAGACCCAGGTGACTTTCCAGCAGCCACTTTGCCTCTTCTAGTGTTAATCAAAGCACAGCTAAATAGTGACAACAACAACAACAACAACAACAACAACAACAACAAAAAAGATGAAGAACCTACCATTTTTATGCTTCTCTTTTCATATCAAATATAATGAGCCTTTTGATTTTCAATCTTTACTCTTACCTGTTTCTGTTAGGATTAATTTATTGTGTACTGTACCTTGACTTGAGGTGAATCGTAGGAATAGATATTTGTGATGTGGCTGCACATTTATTACAATTCTTCCTTCTCCTCTGTTTCACTCCTCTAATTAAATATTTATGAGATATATGTGTGCATTTGAATGGATTTATGTACCAGACTCTTATAAAGTGCACAAAAATCAAAGCATTATGTTAGTTGTGTAATACATGTACTCACAAGAATGAATCAGATATAAAGATATTCCTATTTTAATAAAGTGACCACTTAAAAATAACCAAGCTCATTAATCTCTATGTGTGCACTGCTTACGTTTCAGCTCACACCAACAACCAAAGCAGAACCTGGAAAAACTGCACAGTCAACCAAGGTAAGAACTTCCTTTGCGCCCCTGGGGCTTGTGACCACCTCTGAAAGGAGGGGCTGAATGCTGCCCTGCTGCTGTGGGGCCGCACGAGCTGCTGCGTGGATGGAGATGCACACAGCTGTGTGCGGAAGAGCCGCCCGCACGAGCTGCTCCGTGGATGGAGATGCACACAGCTGTGTGCGGAAGAGCC